CTTTCCTGATTCATATAATTTGCAATCTTTTAAGTCATCAGTCAATCGTTATCTTGCTCTACAGATTTAGTCTTTTCTCTTCCAGTAACTTCCAACTCTTATAGTGGTTGCTTGCAGCCTTGTTGGAAGTGAAGATGTTAAAAAAAAAAAAAAAAAAAAAAAAATATATATATATATATATATATATATATATATATATATATATATATATATATATATATATATATATATATATATATATATATATATATATATATATATATATATATATATATATATATAACCTATTTCATTAATTTGATTCTTGTTTCATTTAAATCTAGTATGTTGCTTTTATTTGTTTGTTATAATTTTATTTAATGAAAGTTTTAACCTGCATAATATTTACAATTAAAATTATTTTTTATTTTTTTTCTATTTTTCCATTTAGATTAAAATTGAAATACTTTCTATATTAGACATTTTATACTTTTAATTGTTTAAAAATTAAGTAAGATTTAAAATGAGACTATACTATTCTCAGAGTCAGGTAATATTTTTGATGAAAAAAGAGCTAGTTTGTTGTCCAAAACTGGATGGCAAATCTTTTTGCACTCAAATAATCCGAAACTTATAAAAATCCTTACATAATTCAATACTGAAAATAAAATTACATAATGTTTCTTAAGAATTTTGTATTTTTACCTAGGTTTACCTATAGTCCTTCATTGCCCTGAAGGACAATGGTTTTTTGATTTAATTTACACAGTCTGTGTCATAAGAACATTTATTGGCTTTAGTACATACATCAACTATCTTATAACCTGCTGCTACAAGGGAGTATTGCTACATCGAATGAGGGTTTGGCATAGGGTAGCAATCTTTTTTCTTTTATTATTTCATTTAAAATTTCTAATGTTTAAAAACCCTCCACTGACAAAATGACCTAAAAGTCACAAATTTCGGACGAAACATAATTCCGGTACATCCTTACCCCTAACTGTGAATCTAAAAAACACCATTTTCGAATCTATAAATCAATTCCGCTCAACAACGTTAACTCAATTTTATTTGAAAAATTTTGAAAAAATGACCTAATTTACTATAGATCTTAGCTCTAAACGGTTTTTGCACATATTAATTTTTGATAACTGTCAAAACACAACACTTCTATCAGTTTTCTCAAAAAATAATAGAATTCCGACCAAAAAAGCGCTTATAATTAAGAAAAATTTCCAATTAACATCAAGAACAGATCATATTATTAAACTACATTGCTCATTTCACCAAAAAAGCATATTTATTTATAATCTTATTAAAATTTGAACAATCGATCGTGGTTTTAAAAATATTTAAAAAAAAAAAAAAAAAAAGTACGGATACTTAAAAAACCCTAACCCTAACCCTGAGGTTTGAAAAAAAAAGGGGTATTGTAATTTATCCTCCTCCGGCTAGTTGCCATACAGAGGCCACATTACCCAGGCCCGCAAAGACAAGTTCAGCTCCCCAAGGAGCGTAATAACCTGCTCAGCGGACCGGGAGTAAAGTGAATTTAGGAAGAACGAAGATATATTAGAGCTAAAGATAGAAGCACTCGTATTAAAAAGATTGCATAGAGAAAGCGGACAGGAATTGCACACGATGTTATATGAAGCAATTATTTATTTTTTTTTATTATACAAAATAATAAATTTTTACAAATATTATATACTATTTCTACATAACAAATAAGCATTTACTCTATACAATATCTTTTAGTTTTTTTCTCGTTTTAAAAAGATTTCCTTTTTATACTTTTTTTAATATTTGTTTATATTATTAAGAAAAAAAAGGTTTTCAACATAAGTTTTTCCAAGTATATTTATTCATATATATGCTTATATTTTTATAATAATTTCATGACATTTACAACACAAACACTAAGTTACGAAAGCTACAGAAAAACATGTGAATATTAAATTTTATATTATAAATTAGAGGCCGGCAGTGATTGTCTAAAATAACAATATTTTTGTTGTAAAAAAGAAATGATACTCGCAGGGAACAGGAACACTTAACTAAACATTTAGTTCATGCTATGAGCCAGTGTATTTGTTTAGCTCATATGTTTAGTTTCAGGTTCCCATTCTCTATTTGACAAAAAACGTTATTAATACAAAAAGTTTGACAGAAAATATCCGCAGTGTTTTTACGGACATGATACATATTGTATTATAAAGTAATAATATTTCTAATGTTTCTCATAACTATCCTGATCGCTGCCATTGGGTCAATTATCGAATTGTTAAACATATGGTGGCATCTGCTGTTCTACTTATAATGGTTTTAGTGACTGTCAACAGCAGCTGCGATTTTACTCCGATAAATTCGCAGTTTCAATCGAGAATATTGAATTTATTGGGCAAAAGTTGTTTTGGGATGTCAAGGAGTTATATATATGTTTAAAGTATTCCCATATTGTAACAGAAGGAGGACAGTAGGCAAAGATGTGCAGTTTGTTTTCAAATTTTCCGCAAGTTTTACATTTGTTGTTTTTAACGATTTATAAGTTGGTATTGTGGTTTATCCTCCTCCGGCTAATTGCCATATAGAGGCCACATTACCAAGGCCCGCAAAGACAAGTTCGACTCCCCAAGGAGCATCATAACCCGCTTCACGGACCAAGAGTAAAGTGAGTTTGGGAAAAACGAAGCTATGTTAGAGTAAAAGACAGAAATATTCGAGTTAGAAAGATAGCATAGAGAAAGCGGTCAGAATTGCACCTGATGTTAGAGGGTGCTACAACGTACTGTTAGTTAGGTTAATATAAGTAAAGTACGCCAAAAAAGTTGTGTTTAGAGTTCACTTGACGTGAACTCTTCCTCAACTTTCTTTGTCGTCTTTAAACGATTTATTAGTTGGTTTGAATGGTTTGCTTATCTAACTTCTCCGCATAATTGCTGGCATGCATTTGATTAAACAATCATTATTTATGCTTGTTTTGCTTGTGGCTTGATATTGCTATATAAAAGCTTTGATATCTTGATATTGGTGAAATTAACTGTTTGATTTTTAGTTTTTGTTGTCTATTACTATTTCCATACAAAAAGTTTTAATGGTACAAGCTCTATGTACACAAAGATTTCTTTTTAAAAAAGAACACTTTACTTCAATTATTTTGCAGCTTTCTTAGTTAATACACAACCCATCAAGTCTAGAACCAGCCATGGCATTTAGGATTTATAACAAGATCACATTTTTTAGCATCACAGTTAACTTTTAATTTAAACTTTTCATGAGCAATATCTTCATTTTCAATACTCCACTAACAAGCTTGTGATTGTAAACTACTATCACAGTTTCTTATAAGCTTTTTTAACAATGAAGTTGGAGGAGTATTATTTCTACGGTTTATAACTGTACCAAAACTTGATGCAGTATTTTTTTTATTTTGTTCTTCAACCCGTTTTTTGTTTTTGTATTAATCTTCAGTTTCTGATTTAATTTGAATTATTTTCTTAAAACTGATTAACATGATGGCAAGCTTTAATTTTCCTCAGTCAAATTAGTTTTAATTAAATGGGCCAGACAGTGTAGAAGTTTTTCCATTATAACTAGGCTTAAACTTTTCAACATTTTTTCATTTACTTGTTAGTAAATAGTTCAGAAAATGTTTTTAGCCAAATTTAATTTCAATAATTAACACAGCGATTGTCATTCTTTGGTTTAATTGTATATATTAAAATACATGGTTTAACTCTAATTTATTTTATACAGTTCTCTAAAATAAAATAAATTAGACAATAACTGATAATCAGCTATTTTATGTTTAGCAGCTCTTCTTTCAAAATATAATCTGATACTATATAAGTAAATATATGGGCGGACTTGTAAACGACGCACCCCTATGAAATACTAATAATCGTGACCATAAATATCCCAATTCTTACGGTCAATTAATGAATGTATATTTCGTTGTGTCAATCTCTAATGGTTAGTCAAAGCATTTACATTTAATTCTATTCATTAATTATGATCAATTGATGTAATTGCATTTTATTTAATTTAATTAATTAATTTTACTAGGTCAGTAAAATATAATTTTCGATAAAACGTGTTTTAAACTTAATGGAGTGCGCCGTTTACAAGTCCGCCAATATATGTTGATGTGTTATCGGAAACAGAGATGTTGTCTTTTGACCATTAAATTACATTTTTAGGGATTATTTTGTTTTCGTCGCTATTAAATTTCTTGTTTGTAATTATACAAAATGTTGCATTTAGTAGAATGCTTTAAGTTTAAACCCTTTAAGTTTAAGTTAAACTTTAAGGGCTTTTTAAAAAGCTACATCCAGCAGGAATATTTATAGTGTTAATTATATTTTCTTTTACTTATGTATACTAGTAATATATACTTCAAACAAGCTTCTCTAATGAAATTCAACTAAAACTGCTTTGAGATATTTGTTTATATTACAATGCTGTTATTCTCCTGCGGAGATAATAAGTTTTATAAAAGATTTTAGCGTAAACGTAATTAATTATAGGAGAGAAAACTATTATTTATGTACGAACAGGCCACGAAAAAATAAAAAATTTAAAAATTATGAATCGCGAGTTTTTAATTTTTCTGTACATACAAATACCATAATGCATTGCTTTATGGGGAAAGGTCAATTAAGTGCGTAACTATGTTAATGCTAACGCGTGTATGCTCTCTAATATAATATTAACGTGTCTCGTATGCCGCGTATGAAATCGTAACAAAAAGTAAAAAAGTAAAAAAGTTTAACTTATAAGAGCAAAACACACATTTTATCTGCTATTTTTGAACTTCATCTAAAAACCTTTTTTGGTTGATTACTGTACTATTTTTTTGTACAAGTTATCATTTTCTTAAACGAGACGCAACAAAAAAATATGCACAATAATAGTTTCAAACACAACATGTTTTATCGTAAAACAATATTTTTAACCGTAAAACATTCTTAAAAAGTTTAAGAATTTTTTTTGGAATAAAAATTATTTCAAAATCAAAAATAAAAATTTGTGAAAAAATCAGCACGCATGAATGAAGTAAAACAAAGAAAAAAGCCATCGAAAGTTTTTCTTTTTTTGGTTCTATTTTCTTTTTTGCTGGTAATTTTATATCTCCTTCACCTTCTTTATAATCCAAGAATATATTTTCGTCAAGTACAAAAACAAAAACGGACTTGGTCAACAAATATTGAACCGAATTTTAAAAATATCTCACCGTTTTATGAAAAAACAAACTGTAATAGCTTTGAGTATGATGCCTCTGAATGGACGCTAAAATATTTAAAGCTTAATGAAACGAAAGAGAATGGAAACAAAATCAAAGACAGCATTCAATGTAAAAATAGATTAAAAGAACTGTTAAATGGTATGTTTTTATTTTCTATAATTAATGATGTCATGGGCAAATATGATATCATCAAGGCGGGAGGGGGAGGGTGTGAGACGCCCCCATCAATGATTTTTATGTTAATTTAGTTGGCAAATTTGACCCTTTTTGACTAATTAGTCGGCAAATATAGACCATTTCGACAGCTTAGTCGGTATATTTAGACAGTCAGTTGGCAAATGTAGTTATGGCAGTCGGAGGGCAGTCGGCAAATTTTAAAAAACGAGGACTTTTATTTTTTTTTTTAGTCAACATAAGTTGTAAAAGCACCCCCCCCCGTGACACCAACTCGCGCCGGCCCTGAATATCATGGGCAAAAATATCTATAATTAATGATGTCATGGACAAAAATTATTATGACTAGAAAGTTCCGCATATTTCTCAAACTTGTTTGAAACATACGTTTTATAAATATTTTTAGAACAAAATGTTGATTATTTCTATTTTACAAAGCACTTTTAAAACCAATTTTTGATATGATTTAAAAAAAAATACGAAACTTTGATTTGATTCAAAAACAATAAATCTTATCTGGGCCTTTATACTTTCAGAAAAAAATGTTATCTCAAAAACGTGGTCAAGGGTGTTGATTACAAAAAATTTGTTTAAAGTTTCACCTCATGCCCATATTTTGGTTTTTGTTCTCCCAACATTTTTTTTAAAGTATAAATCAGATAATTTAAAAGTGCTTATCTTACACTTATACTTAGAAAATAAACAAAAATCATTTTGGAGAAATTTATCCTGTGAAAAAATAAATCGAGTTTTTGCTAGTAATGTTAAATATGCAAGGTTTTTGATACTTCGAAAACAATATTTTGCTCAGAAAATAACTATTTCCGTGCAGAACTCATTTTAATAAGTAATTTTAGTAAGTAGGAGAGAGCGGGGTTCAATATCACACTTTTTGTGATACCTAACACTATAACAACATTTTCTTGACATTCAATATAAATATTTCTGTAGATTCATTTTTTTAAAAATCTCTTTTATGTGATAATCAGCTCCAACTGCGGAGTTACTTGTCGCATAGTATGAAGTTGGTTGTCACAATTTAGGTCTAATACATTTAGATGGTATGATTAAACTTTTAAAAATTAATAAATGATTGGGTCATGATTAGAGACGTATCTGATACAAAGGGTTTTTTTTTTCATTAAGTCTACCTGAATAGCTGATATCTAAATAGACCTTTTATTTTTTGGTTCTGGTTGGTTCGAATAATGTTGGAAGACATCTTTGATTGAATTGGTCTTTGAATAAAATAAATCAAACAGATCAGTTATATAATTAGGACAAAAGTCAATTTTAATTAACACTATCAGAACTTAATGGATAAATACTTGTTGCCTCAAAACCACTCAAAACTTTGTGGAACACACAGTCTGTGGAAATGTAATGTTTACGATTTCAAAATATCATGCATAGTAACTATTTTTTCAGGATTCATTGAAACGACCATAAAGTCAGAGTAGTGTTTATAAAGTTTTTGAGTGGACCGAGTGCTGTAGCCCGTGTGTGCAATGTGATGAAAGGTCTCTCTACTAAGGTCAATAACTTTTCAGGATTTCTCAACAATAGTTACCGCTGTTTACCTGTATGTATATAGTTTACCATGTTCTAAATGCCATTTGATGAGCATGAATAGTTATGCAAACAGTGTTGCATTTTTTTTTTAATATTTCAACATTTTCCATATTGAAACGGGTTGCTTGGCTTAAATTATTAGCTTCAGTTTACCTATTAGAAACATTGAAACAGCACTTCATAAATGCAATCAACCAATCTTTATTAGCTTGTTTTTTTACAATTTAAGATTTGTAACTTTTATATTATTTTTAATTGCTTTTTTACTTATGTAGGAATTAAACCAAAGTAAATTTCTGCTGTTCGCTATATTATACATTTGTAACAAACAATAAAATCAATGCAAGTTTCCTTGACTGTTTTCCCAGTAAAAACAACAAAGATGTAATTTCCCAAGAAATTCATTAAAATTATCAACTCATTTATATGAGTTGATTTAATGTCTATATATATATATATATATATATATATATATATATATATATATATATATATATATATATATATATATATATATATATATAGTATATATATATATATATATATATATATATATATATATATATATATATATATATATATATATATATATATATATATATATATATATATATATATATATATATATATATATATTGGCATTTAAGCATAGTTAAATTTTTTTGCAACTAGTTAAGGAAAATCTCCCTGTAATGGAATTAAACTGCGAAGAGTTTAGTACCTTGATTAATTGATAATCAAACTTTAATGCTCTAAAACTTAAATGATTGTTGTAAGGAAAGAACGGCGAGTTTTAAATTTATTTATGTTGACAACGATGAAGTAAACAGTGTAAAAGCGAATCAAGGAAAAATATTAAGTTCTGAAAACACTGTTGTTCATACCCGTAATAGTAACATATTTGCACGACTAAATACAAAACCAAGTTTATGCCCACCATATTTTTAAACGTAAGTCTTTTATTGCAAAAAGTTAAGTTGCAGAAGCTACAATAATGACTCAACTTAGCCTCATGTCATTCTTGAAAATCTTTTCATTACTTAGGATGCACCTTGGTGTATCGGTAATGTTCGTTAAATTTTAGAAGAACTGAAAGATGTTTTCATTAATTTTATGCCTTTTTTTGGTATGGCTTAGTCACTATCAGCAACTGGGTTACTGATTATATATGGCTCAGTCACTTGCAGCACGGGTACAAGTTAGGTACCAGAGCAGTATGTTATTGCAACCAGTTATGCAATAAGTCGAAATTACTAATTACCGTCAAATGTCGTTTCAGACATTAATTTGCATTTTTTGTTATTTTAAAAGCAAAGTATAAAATATGAAAAAAAAAATTCTGGCTACTATTTCAGACGAAATAACAGTACCGAAATTAATATGCTTCTGAAGATATGCCCCTACAAAAAAAATTTACGGTGTCTAATTTTTACACCAGTTAAAGAATTGTATACTAAAATTTTGGCATAATATAAAACTTGTATTAAATATTTTTTAATCTAAACCACGGTTTATTCAGAAACCTTGTTTTCGAGATATTTTAGCTTTTTATTGCAAAGATATAAAAGACCCGTAATGCAGCAGAAAAAAATGTCCTAAAAATTCAGAAATAATAAATAATTTAATCTAAAATTAACAATCTTTATGACACAGGTTTAACAACATACTGAGAAAATTTTATCAAAATCTGAATTAGTCATGAGGGGAACTCAAGACGACTTGGCGTCGAATGACCCAATTGCTATAAAATGTTACTTTATTATGCAACGAAAATGTATTTATATTCCTTTTTGTTTGCGCTTTTTTTTTTTTTTTTTTTTTTTTTTTTTGTTACTTTAGTGAAAGTTGGTATTTTTTTAAAATATTATAAAACTAGAGACAGAAAACGTATATTTATCCTGAGTTAAGTTATCTGACATGATCACGTGACCACACTACAAATTTATGAATTTTACAATTTAAGTATTAAACAAGTTGCATAATACAGTGTTTTAAAACCGAGTTTGAAAAGCAAAAGTATCTGTGATAAATAAATAAAAGTTTAACGAATTTTTCAAAAATAAATAAATTATTAACCGCGTAAAAAAGTTCTTTAAACTTAATTACTTGAACGTGTGGCACCCATATTCTTCATTTTGTGCTATTGTTTTGACATTGTGTATTCTTTTGATCGTCATATTAGTACTTATTTTAACCGTCATATTAGTAATTATTTTGTTTTTTTGAGTTATATTTCTAAACATCTTTTTCTTATCTATCTACTTTAACCTTCATATTTTTAAAAACTTTCATTCTCACCTCGTTTAATCCCACTTGTTTCTACCGTGTCATTACTTTTTTATAACTCCTATTTTTCATCCATAAAGATGAAAAAAGAGCAGTTATGAAGCAGTAAATACTGCAACAATTCAAGTTTTTTTGACGAGCTTGTAAATAGAAATAAAAGAATGAGTAGTTCTTGTTTTTGTTTGGTTTTATAACTCTATTTTTATTATTCTCAAATTATTTAGACAAATGAGTTCGAGAAGGTTTCCTAATTTAACTTTAAACTTTATTTAAAAATATTTTTTTATAATTTTGATATTAGGGGGGTCTATGGTTCTTTTAAATGAAGGAGGGGGTAACGAAAAACTTTTATTTTCATTTATAATGTATTATTTTCATTTATAATGATAATCCAACTCTACTCTATGAAAAAAACAAAAAATGTAATATTTGCGTCAATCATCTTCAAAAATGCTAACTGAAATATACGAAAATGTTTATTTGTGATTGACATTTATTAATAAACTCATTTGCAATCTCAACCAAATCAATTTTGTACACTGCTTCCACATGAACACGCAAGTTGTTTAGGCGGGAATCTGTTGTTGATGATCGAAGGTAGGTTTTAACTCTTTTTAAATCGGAGAAAGATCTTTCATTAAAAGCATTAGTAGCTGGCATGACAAGAATTAGCTTGGCAATCTTTATAACTTTGACAAGTAAAGCTTTTTTAGAGTATTCCACTTTCCCTGTTTATTGAGAAGAACTCCCCAAAATCTCCAAGTTCTTCCTGAGGATCAATATATACCTTATAATCAGGTTGATCAAACTTCTGTTTTTTAAAACTGACAATAAGATCGAAAGCTTCAAAATACAATTGGCGATAATGTCCTTTTGGTGAATCATGTAAATGATAGGTTTTTTGTGGGAGAAGAGTTATTTTTAAATAATCCGGCATTTTCCTTTTTCGCGAGAATTTAGAAGCAGCGACACCAGGCTGGTTTTCCATTTCAAAGCGCGTTTCCAAAACAGTTTATATATTTTGCTACTTCGAGATTTTTCCAGAGCATTAACGATTTGAGATGCTAAATTCTATCCTTTCGCTGCCAAATTACTTTGACCTTGGAGTGCCTTACTTAGATTATCTGTTTGTTTCAGGAGGCATTCCCCTAAATAGCAACAGAAGATAAAGTCAAATGTCAACATTATAAACTTTACTCCCCAAAATCTCCAAAGTTCAATTAGCTCGCGAAAGTTTTCTAAAAATGATTCAAAAACATTGCAACGGACTGTCCACCTTGTTGGACAAAATTTATGGGTAGACTTTGAACTGCTTTCCGTTAGTTCTCTAATAGCATTAAGTTTGGAATTTCTTTTAGGTGATTTTTTGATAAGTTTGTAAATTTCTATATTACAAATCATTTGCTGTTCCAAAGATTTCGTTGAGACTTTGAATATTTTGGATGACATCACCGATGGTAAGGTTTAAAGTGTGGCCGTAGCAATATGTGTATAAACACTTTTTGCTAAACAACTTTATCTCAGTTGCTACTCCTAATTTAGGATCAGACAAATTAGCAGCTCCGTAATAGCATTGACCATGTGCATCTTCAAATCTTAAAGTCATCCTCAAGAGAATATCTTTAAGAACACGCATAATTTCTTTGAAAATTGTATTTGATAACGGATGTACACCAATGAACTCTTTGTGTGCTTGTAAATCATTATTGACCCTTCAAAGACAAACAACCATTTTTGCGTATATAAAAATATACTTGTTAAAAATATTTTACATATATGTTTTTCCCTAATAATTAAAAAATATTTTTTGGGGACCTAGGCTCCCTGGCCCCCCTGGTGGTTACGGCTCACTCTCTATGTATATATGTATGTATATATATATATATATATATATATATATATATATATATATATATATATATATATATATATATATATATATATATATATATATATATATATATATATATATATATATATATATATATATATGTATATATATATATATATATATATATATATATATATATATATATATATATATATATATATATATATATATATATATATATATCAAACGGCTCAAATAAACTTGTTTTAACCGCTGCGGCACAGCTGATTTTTTTTAAATTCTTTTTTTTTTTATGCGACTATTATTTCTTATGTACTTTTGTTTTTTTTATTTTTGTTACTTTTATTATTTATATATTTATTTGTTTTATGCTGTTTATTTTACTTTTTACATGCTTTCATCATTTCATTTTTATTTTACATATTTTTGTTGTTACGTTTTTATTACTTATTTACCCTTTTAAATATATAATATATATAAATAACTATAGCATTTGCACTTTCAGTATTTAAAGAAAGTAAATATATTTTAAATAATAACCCAGTGAGCATGCGTCGTCCGGGGGACATCAGTAGGACGTCTTACGAACGTCTGGACGTCAGTAAATTATTCGGAGGAAGTCCCCCGGACAACGTGTGCTCACTGGGAAAGGTTATACAAAAGTATTTTAGCTTTATATTTAGCGACGTTAAAATTATTTTGTTTTAAGTCCATTTTTTTGACAAATGAGAAAATTAATGTTAATGTTCCATAAGTTTGCTGCTAAATAGAAAAATAATTTGAGAATTGAAATTTTTCCACAGATTTAAGATTGTTACATTGTCCATTTTTAAATAAACGAAAACTATAAAAACTAGGTTAACGCCCATATTTTGTATAGGATAGCGTTAAAGTAATTATGTTTTTATTAAAGAAAGTGAAAAATTCCCTGACTGCTAATATTAAACGTTTAAAGACGATAGAATTTCCAAACTTAAAATTTAAAAACTTTATATTTTGTATTAGATACCAAAAAACTATAATACAAAGCAGATGAGTGACACATTTTTTTCAATTTTTTTGAAAGTTTTTAAATAAAAACTTTTTAACAGTCGATGATGTTTCATCTCAGATATGTTTGCAGAACATTTAAGTTTATAATTTTTTAGAGTTATGATTCTTTTGTTATTATTTAAATTTTTATAAGTTTTAATTTTTCTCACCTTTTTTCTCCAAGTTGTTGTGTGAGCTTTACTTTTTTTTTATCATACTCCATTATGTGGTAACTAACTAGAAAGCATAATACAAAGTGGGAACTAAAAATATAAATGATAATCAATATGAAATTAACAAAAGCCATATGATGGTATTAAAAACTTTTATTTCATCCAGGGCCTACGACACGGGTTTTGAAAAGGAAGGGACACAATCATTGATTTGTGAAAAAAGTCCTCTATATCAAGATTTTCTTAAAAAAATAAAAAAAAGGTCCTTTAGAAAAAGTGGAGGGGCACCGGGGGGCGGAGGGGCACGTGACCCCTGCCCCCCCCCCCCCCCCGTGTCGTCTGCCCTGTTTTCAAATATTTATTCAAATATTATTCGTTTTGACATATTATTTATTAAATTGTAATCATTTGTTTTAAGTCAAATGATGAACTTCGTTTTGGTTTAGACAAAGTCCTTTTTTTTTAAACTATATTTTTAGTCACCATTTTGAAATCAACAAATAAGAACAATATAGTTCCGTTCAATTGAACGGAACTATATTGTTCTTATTTGTTGATTTCAAAATGGCGACTAAAAATATAGTTTAAAAAAATAGGACTTTGTCTAAACCAAAACGAAGTTCATCATTTGACATCATTACAGCTTTGATCAAAGTTGTAATGAGTGAATAGGATTGGTAAATAGGAGATAGAATAAGATAGTATTTTAAAATTTTTCATTAATTCAATATGGTATGCAACACTGTGTTAATTTTTTTTTTTTTTAATATATTAATTGTTGATACAAATTTTATAGAACAACAAAATGATGAATTATTCGAAAAGATAAAAATTTCTAACTTTTGAAAAAGAAAAAATTTTTTTAACTTTTTGAAAATTTAAAATAATTCTAACGTCGCGATCTGACTAGATTTTTTTTTTTTTGTGTGCAATCATATTTTAAAATTGTTTTTTTTGTTTATTGTATAGGTAAAAGTGTTAAACGAATTATACATAAAAATAATACTATCGAAAATTGCGGTTGCACTAAACATACTACTCAATGCAATGAAAGTGCTTATTTTAACAATGCATTAATGAAAAGAGTAAACACGCCACCTTGTTGTAGAGAAAAGTTGTTAGAAATATTAAACACATTTTCGCGAGAGCTGCAAATATTACACGTACCGCACATGTTAGCGTTCGGAGCGGTATTAGGATGGGCACGATATGGTAAAATGATTCCTTATGATCGTGATATTGATTTAATTATTGATAAATCGTTTTGGAATACAACGTTGTTTTTTGATACTTTGAGAAAAATAGAAAGGATTAATGGACACAAGTCAAAATTTGAAGATAATGGTAAAAAATTATGTATAACCTATAGCGCAATCAACCAAAATTTAATTGATATTTGGCCCTTCGAAATTATTAAAAGAGTTGGAAAATGTCCCGAGGTGAGTATACCTCATTATTTTTGGAAGTTACAACCTTTAGAAAATCTTTTTCCAGAACGTTATGTGCGTTTTGAAAATATAATGACGTATGTACCACGTGATCCGCACAGATATTTAAACACTTTGTACAAAAATTGGAAAAAAGAACTTGATTGCTCGTATAAAAAAGAAAACAAATGCAGCGAAAAGGAAAGTGACTACTCTCAATATAATTCGGAATCACGCGACATTATGTTGGTGATTATTATACTTAGTATTTTACTAGTAATAATCTTGTATTCGACTTATTGCATAGTGTAGGGATATATATATATATATATATATATATATATATATATATATATATATAATATATATATATATATATATATATATATATATATATAATGTACAACTGTTAAACAATTAATATTATGCATTTAAATATTTAATATTATGTTACAAATGTAACAGTTAGTACAAAATTGAGTAAGAAACAAAAATTATTTATAAACATACTTTACAATTCAGTTTTCTCAATTTGTCTATTACTAAGTTGTACTTATCGTATAGCAAAGGGGATAAAAAAAGTCTCAATTTGTCTATTACTAAGTTGTACGTATCGTATAGCAAAGGGGATAAGAAATGTAGTGAACTTAATACTGTTACAAAATCCTTAGGTATATATTACAGGATATAGAATCCTGCTGAAAAGTACGGTTTTGTTCAAAAATGGGTGTCAACATCAAACAAAAGTTAAATTTGAAGGCACACTTAAGAACACGGCCAAATACGACGTTATGTACTTAATTTGGGGCTTGGTGATAATACTAAGTTTGTCTTCTTAAATATTTTTTTTTTATGAATTACGATTGTAAATTAATTTCTTATTGGCAAATACATACAAACATTGTAATATTAAAATTAAAGATTATACTAATTAACTAAGAATCACATGATCAGTGATCATGATCACATGATCAGTGATCAGTGGTGCCTAAATTGAAAAATGAGGAGAGACATAAAGAGAACATCTGCTTTTTTTGTTAAACTACTCTGTGTTTTCAGTAATGCTCGTTTTTAACGTTCAAAACAATTATATCGTTGTGAAAATAAAGTTAACCATATAATGAAATTGTAACTTGAAAAAATTTTAAACTTTAAATATTTTACATGAAAATATGAGTTGAATACAACATGAGACGAAAAAGAAAGAGGTTAAAAATTGATAAAAATTATCTGGCGTAATATATAGACTACCTCTTAGAAAAAGAAAGTATTATAAACAAAAACATATGGAAAACCAAAGATAAAAAACTTGTATTTAAAATATTTAGTTGCATTTAAAACAAGATTTCGAACAGTTTGGAAGCATCCAATTTGGATTTTTCTGACACTCACCGGATTTTTCCCATGCAGCGCAGTTCGAATGTTTGTCATTGCAGGTGTCTATAGATAAAACAATAAATAAAATAACCATTAAATAAATTAAAATATTAAATAATTTTTAATTATTACGTGGAGATTTATTACAACAAGATCTAAATTTAAATTGATAAGGCGAAAAAAAAAGTGAACAAAAAAGATTTAAAAAAGAATATTATTAAATTTAATTATATAAATAGTAAAGTAAAATCCTAATGTTAAGTTTTTTTTAACTAAAATAAAATGGAAATAAAAATCAAATATGGTGACAAAAATTTTACTCTCAACCAGTGTGACATATTTTACTACTGGTAAGTTGTAAAAACAACATGAGCTATACTTTTTAATATATTTTTGCATTTTGATATATATTACACATTTGAAATTTCAAAAAAAACATGGCAACATAAAATACATACACCATGAAGGGTCATAAACATCATTAAACCAATTAAACGCCACAAACCTCATGCAATAAATAAACCATTTCTATAAACCATAGGAATGGTTTATATATTGCATGTAAATTATTGCAAATAAACCATAAATAACCCTAAACAAACTAAAAAAACTGTGAATTAAATAATACTTTTTATACTAATAAACTTTTGAAATTGTTAAGCACAAACAAAAGTTACACTTAATTCAACAAAATTGCTAAATGATTGATTAAAGAAAAAGAGCTCAATTATTGAATAAGAAAGTGGTTTCCATAGTTTCATATTTCATAAGAAAATAAAATATTTCATAAAAAGATAAGTACAACTACCATAAATTAATATTTTACCTTTACAAGATTTGCAACATTTTCTTTTCATAACTTCTAAATAACCTCGATCTGTTGAAGCACAATAACCTGTATTTGCCCATCCTTTGCATTTAATGTCTAAGTCTTCACCAGCCACACATTGTACCGTTGGAGAGCCAGTTTGAGGAGCTGTGGGAGATTGTGTTGAACTATGTGAAAAAGTAGGTGGCTGGGTTGAAACACCTGAAATAGTTGGTGGATGTGTTAAAACACCTAAAAAAATATTAAAAAACAAAAGATACAAAAAAAGAAAAAATGACAAATAGTAATAATTATAAAAATAACATTTTAAGACCGCATAGTTAACTAAACCAAATTGTTCAATCAGTTAAGAACTAAAAAAAATATATATCATTTGGAATCAAATCAATCAAATTTTGAGTATGAACAAAATCAAACCAAATCTTTTTTATTTTTATTTTTTTGCAGTAAATTATTTCTAATAACTTGCATTTTGTATATGTATCTGTATGAAAAAAATCTTTAAAAATATTTTAATAACAAAACATTTAGAAAACCATACTTCGCTTTTTTCCATTATTAGTCCTTTCATTGTTGTTAGCATATTTTTAATTTGTTGAATGGTTTTTTGTTTTACAAATTTTTGACTGGTTATGTATTTCTTGTATATTTTAGTTCATATTGGTATTTATAAAACATTTTTTTATTTTTATTTTTATTTTTTATATATATATATATATATATATATATATATATATATATATATATATATATATATATATATATATATATATATATATACATTTTTTATTATTATTATTATTTATTTTTAATTTTTTTTAATTTTATTTATTGTTATTATTGTTGAGTACTGTTTTAATTGTATAGCCTGTCTTATTTATTTTTAAATATTCCTCTATTAATCTTTATTTTTGTCTTGACAACTGTCAAAATATGCTTTGTCTAATAAATAATTCTCCTTTATTCTAATGTACTTCATTTCTTCCCTCAGGCGTTCACTGCTCGTGTGTGACCATTCGGCGAATTTTATATGCCAAAGTTTTTAAATAAAAGCTTGCATTTTGTATACGTATCTGTATGGAAAAAGTCTTTAAAAATATTTTTATAACAAAATATTTAGAAATCCAAAACTAAATTTGTGTGTTTGAAAATGTATGAATGAAATGAATGAAAATGGATTTAAAATAATTTAAGTAAATAGATAATCTCCATAATTTCTCCATAAATCTAATAAATAATTGAAAAATTAAAAAAAAAATTGTGACAAAAACTAAACCATTGTTGAAATCAAGCCAACAAAACAACTTTACACCCAAACAAAAATTACCAATCTGTTGTTTAGAATTTTAAATTTAATAACAACAACAACAAAAAAATATTGTGTATTCTTAAATACTACTTTGTAAATACATATGAAATTGATGGCATTAAAGAAATATAAAGTGCGTGCATTTTTAAGCATACTAACAAGTCTAAATATAGAAACATAAAATTAAATTTTTATAAAAGCTTCTTTAAAAAAATGTGAATATGCTAATAAATAAATTTATTTCTACCTGCTTTGCAGTTATACATAGCATTAATTTGCTTTATGTCTATGTTACTAAACCCTTGGGCTTTGCCAATAACTTTTTGTTTGCTTGGGTCTTTAGTTTTAATAGTAACCCCACCAAATCGACCAAATGCAGTTTCACCATAGTGCATCATTGAATCATAGTCATAAGGAAATCCCAAACTGTTAACTGTACCACTATCAAACTTGTCAAAGTTGTATTTCATACCTCAAAAAAGTTCAAATTATATATTCTTATTATAAAGATACATGAAAGACATAGCAAAACACAAATATGCATTACATACCAAGTTGAATGTTGCCCCAAACAATTGTTACATGATCATCACGATCAGGTCGACTTTGTTCATGATGCAATCCTAAAAATTAATGAAGTCATATTATAAAGTCTAACAACCCTTTATTATTGAAATAAAAATTACATTGTAATTTACCAATGCTATGCCCTATTTCATGCAATACTGTTCCAAGTTGAAGACATCCACTGCCTAGTGATACATTGTTGACTCTTCTTCGATAATAACCAACATCAGAGGAACACCTAAAGAAATATAGCACAAAATAATCTTAGCAAGTTCATCAACTAATTTTATCATATAAATACATGCTAATTTAATTTATATACTCCACAATGTTTTTTTAACTATGAAAAATGACATTAAAAATATTTTTGTTTTTTTATTTTTGTGAAGCAATAAAATAGTTTCTCAAAATGAATCAGTTCTATAAATAAAACAGTTCTTGACAGAAAATTTTCTATAGTTTTTTATAAAGTGTCTTATATTAACATCAATTTTAAAAACAAATTTTTATTTTTTATTGATTAACTTTTGTTTAGACATTAATGGGTTAAATAAAAACGTTTCCTACTTATCATTATTTAAAAAATACTAATGTTTTATATTATTCAATTTTTTATGTTGGGTATTCTCTTTGGAACAATGAGTTGGGTACTATTTTGTTAATGATAAGAAACAAAGATTATGTTCTCTAGTATCATAAGACGATTTTTAAGTATTTTTAGAAACATCAATTTTTGTCATTTATTTTGTCATTTTTTTTTTCTTGATTATAAAATCAAGAAAAAAAAATGAAAATTAAAAACAGACGTTTAAAGAAAAATAAATGATAAAAATTGATGCTGCTAAAAATACCTAAAAATGTAACAATGAGTTGGATTCTATTTCGTTAATGATAAGAAACAAAGATAGTGCTCTCTATTATCATAAGACGAAAAAGAATATCCAACAAAAATAACTAAAGTTTATATATATATTTAGAATTAGACGAATAATTAGACAAAAGAGAATACCTAACGAAAATAATTAAAGGTTATATATATATATATATATATATATATATATATATATATATATATATATATATATATATATATATATATATATATATATATATATATATATATATATATATATATATATATATATATATATATATATATATATATATATATATATATATATATTACTCAAATATATATATTTCATAACTAAATAAAAAAATATAAATCAACAATGTTTAATGAAATTATAGATAGGACAAAAAATTTATATTAAAAACCTTTTTAGAAAAGTGAAAAACAGTTAAAATTGAATGATTTATATATGGTTTATATACATACGGATATACATACATACATACATACATACATGTATATATATATATATATATATATATATATATATATATATATATATATATATATATATATATATATATATATATATATGTATGTATATATATGTATGTATATATATATATATATATATATATATATATATATATATATATATATATATATATATATATATATATATATATATATATATATATATGTATATATATGTATATATATATATATATATATATATATATATATATATATATATATATATATATATATATATATATTTGTATACAAAGGAGATTCTACGAATAAAATGAGGGGGGCGAATCCTTAAAAAGTACCAATTCAAAAAAAAAATATCCAGTTAGAATTATCTAAAACCTTGTTGCAACTATTTAAAAGTTTTTACATTGCTGTTTTGATGTTTTACAACTTATTTTAACTTTACGTACTACAAGAAATGTCGCTAAAACACTAAACTGTTTTAAAAAAAACTGTTGAAAAAAAAAAGAAACAGGAATTACTAGAATATAAATATCTGCCTCCAGATAAAATATTACACATACCCGATTCCAGAATGAAAACTAAGATAGGTATCTTCATTTGTTCTCTTTATAAACTTCAAACAAGTGTGCTTATGATATTCATCAATTGCTCTTAATATGTAAACATGATTTGATGAGCCTAAACATCATTGTTTTAAAATATGTAAACATGATTTGATGAGCCAAAATATCATTGTTTTAAAATATGTAAACATGATTTGATGAGCCAAAATATCATTGTTTTAAAATATGTAAACATGATTTGATGAGCCTAAACATCATTGTTTCAAAATTAAAAAACTATTTTATGTGTAATTAGATATGTTACACACAGTAAAATGTATTTAGTTTAGAAAAAAAAATTTGAAATCAAAGTTACATATAATAAAATTGAAGTGTTTACCAGATGGTAAAGACTTTGTTAGTTTTTTGTAGTTTTTTATGCCTCCTTTTAAGGAGATAATTACGTTTTATGCATTTTCAGTGGGCACAAGAAATGTTTAAGACGCCTAAAAAGCAAATTAAAATGTATTAAAACGTTGTTTAGACGTCTAAAACACGTGTTGTATTCACTGGATTTATTTTATTTTAAAATAAATTATAATATTTTATAAAACGTACGAGTAAAATGATAAGAATAGGAAGGGTAGTGTCGTCGCGACACACTCAATGGCCTGTAGACAAAACTCAGTTTTTCTGCAATTTCTCAGTCCTATTATAGACTAGGTGACCCTCAAGACTTTGTCTACATTTTCTATCTAGTAAGAAGTGATAATTGTAATGAAGAAATTTAGAGTTGAAGAAAAAAACTTCAATAAACTAGAGTGCTTTTTATGTTTTAATTTATGTACATATAGACATTATGATTTATGTACGTATAGGTTTTTATGATTTATGTACGTATAGGTATTATGATTTATGTACGTATAGGTATTAACTGTTACAATATATTTTGAATCAATTTGAAATATAATTTTTCAACAAGTTAATTCTCCAAAACTAATTATATCAAAGAAAAGCATAAATTGTTTCTTTTTTTACTTAAACACTTTTTCTTTTTTGCATATCATATAATCACTCAGAGAATAAAAATGATTAAACACAAGTGCTTTTTTTGCATTATATATGTTTTAAGAAATACCACAATCAATCCTCAATTTGGTTTTTTTTAGTAGCATTAATCTTGACAAAAAAATAGTATTTAATCTTTGCACTCAAATTAAATGTGTACAATGAACACCCTGAGTACATTGTACACTAACTCTATTCAAGACCGGCGTTGATAGGCGTTGCGTGGGGTAGGAGGGATGGGGTTATGTAGTGCTTTAAGAGGAGTATGTGGTGCTTTAATTCTTCAATTTGCCAGATTAATAATCCCATTATGCTAAGATTTAAAAGATCTCAATTTGAAAACTAATGGCGCAAAATATTCATTGAATGGGGAGTGTTCTCATTCAAAGAATATTATATATAGACACTCCCCCGCCCCTCATCTATTGAATGGGGGACAGCTCTCCTTTGCACCGGCCTCAACTGTATGTACATTTTACTTTGTTTATGAATAAAGCAAATGAGTATAGCTGCTTATTTATGGTATTTATGTGACTTATGAATTCAGAAGAAAATTTTTGCAAATAATGACTGATTATTACAAGTAAATAACTGTTTATATAGTCATTTACTTGTACATTTGTACCTTTCAAGTTTTTGAAACTTCATTGTTGCCTCTTTAAAAACTAGATTCTCAGACAAACGGATTTGATTAAGATCCATTAAGAAGCTGTTTAGGACCTCTATTCAAGGATGTGTGGATTATTTTATCAAATTAAATCTTGAACTCCAATATAGATATCTCAAACTCCAATGTAGATATCTGTCATTTTAGCGTAATTTTTGTAGCCTAGAAGTGAAATCATATTTTGGAAGCATCCAAAATCTATACAATCTCCTCAGATCCAGCTAACTTGTTGGAAAATTCTCAGGGAAGAGACAGGAAATAAACTTTCTGTTAAACGATAGAGCTCAAGGATTGAAGCAGTTCCACAACAAGCCTAAAGGTCAAAAGAAATCTTGAAGCCATTATATTGTTTAAATGAGATTGATGTTTTTCAGACAAAAATTAGTAATAAGGTAAATTATCTGATTAAATTGACAAATGCTTCAAAGTTTGGTGTTTTTACCACTTTTTGGGCTAAATTTTTGGTGATGATGGCTGTTAACGACACGAGTCTTCTTCTTAAATGATTAAGTTTAATATAAAACTTTACTTGTCAATTGTCTTCCTTAATATCTGAATAATGGACATAGACATTATTTTGGAACAGAAAACAGCTATCAACTTGCAAGCCAACCAAATTAAAAAAACTCAAACGAAAAGTAGCAGTTATAAAAAATAATTTTTAATCTCAATCAGCCACTGTTTAACAAGTTTAAAGGAACCATTGCGGAGTAGTATTGTCAGAAAAAAAGCCTAACATGTTGCCATAAATTGGTCAAGTCCTAGTCAAGCTAAAGCATGCAGTCAAACGTAAGAAAAAAAAATTATAGATGGTGAAGAGACAACGCAAAAGATGTTACCTAAGCACTGCCAGCAGCATTACACTGCATCACAGAGGTCCTAACAGTACAACCTCACCAATAATAATGGTAGTTTCTCCAAGCGTCTTAATACAAAAAAAAAAATAGCCGACCTATTGTGGTATTCATAAACTCTTGTAAACTCGCTGCAGATTAAATCTTAAAGAAATACACAGTCAATCTTCATATGTCTTAAAAAGGGCATGAGTATTAACTTTGCAAAAGACAGAAACGCTAGCAATGACAAACTTTGCATCCTTATGGCAACTCTTATATATTCTTTTATTTGGTTATCCACAATGGAATAATTGTCAAGATCTGCGGTGCACTCACTTCTTGCTTTACACCAAACAATTAGGTCAACCGCAAATACTTATCGCTTACCTATGCCGCTAACATGCGTCCTTTCAATAACAAAATCCAGTCTTTAAATTTATTTCTTTTAGATAACAAGGTTGATATTAAGATAAAAGATGGTTCAAAGATGATATTGTCTCTCAAACCAAAAAGTGACATAGCCCCAATGGTATAATTGGCAAGTTGTTATTTCTCAAATCAATAATAATCGCAACAAAATAAGCATATAAATATATTATTTATAAAAACAAAACATTCAAATAACAGAACAAATAAAGCTAATTATTGACTCATCGCCAAACTTAATAGCTATAAAAGAAATTTGACTAACCATTGCTATTGTATACTCAAAATACTCTTAGTGTTTAATAGTATGCTATTACATCCCAGTTTGGTTAAAATGTGCATATTGTGACGCATCATTTCGAAATGAACAACTCAACGGTACACAAAAAACTCTGATGACATCCTGATCTACAATATCTAAAATAAAGTTCCTGCCAAAATATCTCAATCCATTGTTTAAATTTTCTTACTTTGGTCTTTATTCATTGATATAAAACTCAATAGCTCAAAATTATAAATTATCAGAATTAATGCCAGGCGATTCATTAATCATACTCTACCATCACTTATACTCAATAATACTGAGCTTGAAAATTGTTAACAGCTACAAATACCTTGACATTTTGCTAAATAAGAATCTTGATTAGACTGAACAATGGGTAAACGTCCACAATACTATTAAATCAGTCTCAAGTCTATTAATTAAATTTAACACTCTCAGCCTAACGTTCTACAAGTTTATAGATATTAGAGTATTACATAAAATTATTATTATTAGATATATTAGAGTATTACAACTTATATATTATATATTAGAGTATTACAACTTAATTAGATGTTTGAGCTAAGCAACTTTAAAACATGAAAAAACTCTTTATTTGGGTATATTCATATATATGAGGAATGAGTAAGTTAGTTAAAAAATTGCGGTGATTGGAGACTTTGGAACAACAAAAACCCTAAAATGTAGCCCTCCTTTTTTATATATATAAATTAAATAAGTATTTATTGACAGATTTTAAATTTCATTTATTATTCTCTTAGTTTTCTGAAATTAATGACCATCTAAAATTGACACCCCACCCCTCAAAGAGGGGGCTGTAAACTTTATAAGGTCATAAAAGCCGAACAATAAGAGTTTATTTCATCAAAGATGAAATTCGTCCATGAATTTTGTTAATTTAGAAGACCGGAAAAAGTTTTGAAACTTTTAAAAGTTTTACTTTTAAATGATAGATTGCCTGCCTAAACCTTTATTTGATGTAGCAACATTCCTCCATGTTCCACCTATTTGTCAGTCAATGTAGCAGCACTCTTGGCATGTTTACCTGTTTGTCAGTCGATTTTGCAGCAAATTTTTATTGTTTTTTTTTTTTTGTGCTATAAATTATATTTTTCCTAGTCCCAGAGTTTGGACAAGCACAAATTATACTCAACTAAGTAAACTTTACAGAAAATAAAGGTAATCAGAGTTGCATTTTCAGTCAGTAAGACAGTTTTTTTATGAGCTTAAGGATTTTAGGTAATCTAAATATTTTCTGACTAAATATTTATCTTGTTTTACAGTTCATGTATAAATTATAATATGGAAAACGTCCAAAAGTTTGGTTTTTATTTTACAGACATCGACGGTAAATATTTTACCGTCGAATTTTAGAACACAACTTTTTCAAAACTGTGTTCTTGCACTATTAGACTGCGGTTTTTATAGAAACAATTTCAAAACATTATGGCTAAAAAAAGTCTAAAAACTTTAAACTGAATCTAAAAGATACCTACGTTTAAACTGAATACTACGATAGCCTTTACTACGATACCTCTCACTAACAAATTTAGATGCAATAAAAATTATAATAAATACTTTTATTATTATTAGTTTTTTTCACAAATTACACAATTAATAAATTTTTTACACTTTAATAACTTTTGACAATACTTATAAATTTATATCTTTATTTATTTAAATTCGTTTTAAACAATTTTTAAATTTTATTAATTATCATAGAAAATATTTTGTAAATTTCATATTTACAAGATTGTAACTACATCAACAAAAAGTGCTAGGCGGTAAGACTTAACTATCTTCTTCATGCTCCGGCCGTAATTTTTCTTTTGTATATTTTAATTGATTGTATTCATTGTTAGCCAGTAAATTATTATTATTTTATTTATTCAACACCCAATTTACAAGGTAAAAAGAAAAAAATAAGAAAGTTATTTCGGATGACTTTGCTTAAAAACGTTTTCTTCCAGAATTTGCTTGAAAACTCCTCTTTGCTCTTTTGCATTCCAGCACTCTATTGCATACTTCAAGTTTCGTTCAACTTCGGAAGGAATTTTACTTTTAGAAAGTGGTATTTTTACCTTCTTTTTATTTTGAATTAGGTTTTGAAAATTTAATATCTGAAGACGTCATAGTTCCTGAATATCACTAACAAACGAATGTTGAAATAACGGGTGTTGCAGTTGTGAAAAGATAATGTCTGCAGTTGTTTTGTTATTAAGAAGTCGAAGGAACAAGTTTAACTTATTTTGTTGAACACTTTTTGAAATTTCCTGGATTTTAAATTACGAATTCATATAGTTTTTACTATGTTTCGAAACATTTAAAAACGATTTTAGCGCACTCCTTCCAATTATATCTAGCTTTTTCATCAGACCAGGATTATTTTCACATAGCTCCATACCATAAGTTAAGGTGGGGACTGCCAATGATTTATATATATAGGAAATAGAACTGGGGTGGGCAAACCGGATTCCAGATTGAATAAGAGTTTGAACAACAGCTCTAAAGTTTGATATTTTTTCATCAACATTTGAATAACCGAGTGAAGCAAAAACTGAATGTTTAGTATCCCATGTGAATCCTAGATGTCTAAGTTGTTATATTTTTATAAAAAGTCTAAATGTTATATTAGTTAAAAAAAAAAAAGTAGTCAAATATTCATGTGCAAGAAGACGTTTACACTTTTAAAACACATTTTCCCTAATTGCTGAAGAGAAAATAACAATCATTTTTTAGAGCATAATGACATTTGTTTTATGTTTTTATGGTTTTTTACTTTCAAAACATATATAACATATATATTTTAAAAGAAAAAAAAGAAAAGCATAAAAATTTTTCCCAGTACAACACCATGTTCTGAACAGCATGTCCTGAACTATAATAATCTTGGTATCAGCATCCTTACATGATCTTTTAATAAAAACAGTATTTATAAAAAATAATTTTTGAACACGAAAAAAAGACTAGCAAAACATTTAGAATAAAAACTTATATTAACAAATTTATATTTATAATTCAGTTAGTAATATAAAAAAATTGATTGTTTTAAAATTATCTAAATTAAGTTGTTGCTTACTCATTCGACTGAGATCGTAAGGAACAATATTGTTAGGCCATCGGCCTGCTATAATGCTTCCGTAGCCATTGAAATCACTAGGAGTCAACACCATGTCTCCTTCAAACAGATTGCTATCTAAAATTTTAAGAAGTTGTTGATTATCGAAGAGAATAAAAAAAATATTTGAGGTAAATAGTTTTCAAACTCACTCTCCATTTCAGGGACCCAACTTGAAGCAACATTTCCAACGCAGCAGAGAAAAAAAAGAGTCAACATTCTCACGTTTTTCCGCTTCAAAAATACTAATCATTTTGTTTTGAAACATTTTTATACTTTCTAAAAATAAATACAGGTGCTTAAATTTATTTAATTTTGTTTAAAGCTGAAAAAATAAAAGTGAGAAAAAAGGGCGAAAACATCACAAATAGGGATTGTAAAGTTGAGGAACATTATTTTTTACTTTATTAATTGTTAACGACGCAAAAAAAATATGTTCACGTAACACACTTAAAAACTTTAGTTCTGTATCATCATTCAATATCATTTCATCAGATAACTCAAATAAAAGAAGTCTGGAAATTGGTTAGACATTACAGCAAAGATTATTGCAGGATAGAATTAGAAAATTTGATAACTTTGATTTTTAATTAAATAACTATTTAAAATATGACACCATCCTTAATACCAAATTTATTTGCCAAAGTAACAAGTTCCAAAACCGCACAATTTAAAAACAGGTTAAAAATTATTATATTGAAAAATATAATAACTAAACTTAAATAGAAAAACTTTTAATACTTATAAACTTCAAAAAACCTTTTCTTTTGTGGTTTTACAAGATTAATTTCAAGAAAAAAAAAATGAAAGATTTTATGGCGGTCGTGTTTTAACTAAAAAAAAACTTGTAAATACTCATTACACCAAACTAAAAGACAGATGATGCTACAATATGATACAACAGATGATGCTACAATATGATGCCACAGATTATGCTACAATATGATGCAACAGATGATGCTACAATATGATACAACAGATGGTGCTACAATATGATGCAACAGATGATGCTACAATATGATACAACAGATGATGCTACATTATGATACAACAGATGATGCTACATTATGATACAACAGATGATGCTACAATATGATACAACAGATGATGCTACATTATGATACAACAGATGATGTTACATTATGATACAACAGATGATGCTACAATATGATACAACAGATGATGCTACAATATGATTACAGCTTCAAAGGTAGTAAAATATTACTCACTTACTCATGGGTTAAAGTTAATTTAATTTTTTTATTAAGATATACGTCAAAAATTAATTCAATCTTTGGTAACTGATTCGCATCTAGCTAGGTATACTTATTATTAGTTTTAAAACATTTTTCTTCTATGCAACATTTAGTTTTTTTATTTTTACTACTAGTACATGGTTTAATTATTATTCCCCGCCCCTCTTCCCCATCACCCTCCTCCAGTGTAAATCGGCGAGTTTTAGATTTAATACATAACTATGTAACTTAAAGAATATTTTTTATATTATTTAGCAATCGGTAGATTTTTTGAAAAATTACAAAATAGTTCTTAGGTATTTTTTTATTATTTATTAGAGCCACAATGAATATAGTTTTATTCCTCCATTATTTAAAATTTCTACTTTCATGGAAAATTTGTTTGATATCATGATGGTAAAATAAGAATGAAGACCTTTATGCAGAAGTTTTTGTTTAATGTTGGTTGGTATTATTTCTGAAAATTAGCTGATTTGAAAAAACCTCTTTTTAATGTATTATTAACTAATATTAACATTTTATTAACTACCACTATACATTATTAACACAGACAACTAGTCAATTAATAAAATATTTAAAAAACTAATATTTAAAAAACTCATTAAAAAGTCTGTAGAGAACCGTTTTTTTATTTGAATCAAAATAATATTTACACATTAATCGATGATGCACATCATTAAAAAAAAACTTTGTTACTATTTTTTTGAACAAAAAAAATATTTTTCGGTTGAAAAATGTTTTAATACCATTAGGCATTTTACGGGTCCTTAAATTTGTTTTTAAAAAATTATTAAAAAGTATGTCATGTTGTGTCTCAAATGAAACGAAATTCGTAAACTTTTATTGAACGCCTGGTAAGGAAACACATATCAAAGTGTCTCTAGCAGCTTTTAATGCTAAATATAGTGGACACAGGTGACTCGTGGACACAGGTGACTCGTGGACACAGGTGACTCGTGGACACAGGTGACTCGTGGACACAGGTGACTCGTGGACACAGGTGACTCGTGGACACAGATGAATTGAGAAAGCAGAGTAGTCAAAGTATAATTATAGTTGAAAATAATAATTTGAATATTTCTGAATATTTTTGAATACCTATAAAACATTGGTAATTCTAAAAAAATATTACTTTATGTTTTAGCTGCTTTAATGATGCTTTTTGTTTAGAAAAGCGCACAAAACAATTACAAACCTCTAATATTCACCAAAAAGAGCTTTTGAAAGAGAAGTTCATGCCATTTTCTCTACTATTGTTGTTTATTTGGTTAGAGGAGGCATTGGACTAGAGCCTTTTAAAAGCAGCTGTGACGTAGTCACAGCTGCTTTTAAGCTTTAATATGTTGTCATCGGTACAATTATTAAATGTGAAGTTATCAGCAGGGCTGTCCGGGGGGTGGGACACCCCCCCCCCCCCCAAAGCTGTCATTTAAGCATTTGAGTTGGCACATTGAGCAAGTTTTGAACTATAGTTAGCAAATTGTAAATATTGAGGACCTTTTTTTTTCTATATGGTGTTTCTAGTTGGCAAAAAAAAAACATACACCCCCTCCCCATAGAAGACCTCTTCGGGACGGCCCTGGTTCTCAGTGCAGTTGTGAATTGTGATGTCATCAGTACAGTTATGTTAGTACCATGGTTGAAATTCCTTAGTCGAAACCAAATTATAAAAATCAATCCAACTAATAGTAACAGTAAATAACTATTTAAGAGTCTAAATGAAGTTATTAAACATAGTACTTTTTGTAAAGTTATTATCTTTTTGTTATCCGTAAAAAATTTCAATTTTAATATAAGACTGTCCATAACGTCCTCACAACCTTTAACCAAATTATAATTTTTTTTTTAAATGTTTGTTCCATATAGTATGTTATTTTAAAGCAATTTAGGATTAAAATTTGTATATTAAACCGTGTTTAGTATTTAATTTAATAGTTATTATAATTAACATGAAAATCAAAGAGTGGTCATAACATTTCACAACTTTACTTTAAAGTTTGATACACAAAAAAAAAAACAATGAAAAGAATTGAAAACAAAGAAAATTAAATGCATTATTTATTTCAATTAAAAAAAAAAGATTAGAATTGGCTTAAAACTATTCACAAAATTAAAAAAAAAATGAAGTAACGGTGCCACCACAGTATAAGTAAATTTAATCTACAAACTGGCGTTCCAGAATGATTATAATTCTTTTACACTATTTAAACAAGGCGCTGATTCTTATAAAGATTTATGGCTAAACTTTATGGCGACATCACAATCATATATAGAAACTTTTTTTTAACAAACTTTTTAATTGAAAAATATTTTAGTAAAGGATAAAAAAAATTCAAACTATCTTAGTGAAAATATTAAAACTACTTTAAACAACAAAATGATGAAAGAAAAGGCGCTACCATAATATCAGTACCACCACAATACTAGTACCACCACAATATCAGTACCACCACAATATAAGTACGACCACAATATTAGTACACACCACAATATCAATACCACCAGAATATAAGTACCACCACAATATCAGTAATTTTAATCTACTAACTGATTTTCTAAAATGATTGATTTTAAATTATATGAAATGCTATTTTATTTACACATTTTAAACAAAGCACTATTTCTAATAGATTTATGGCTAAACTTTATGGCTCCTTATATTCTAATACAGACACATAACTATAAATATTAATTTTTCTCAAGTTTTAACTGAAGTTTAATTTACAGTTTGTCGTTTGTTTTATATTGAAAAACATAGTATGAACCATTTTTAATGGCCATTATCTGGATTAGACAGAGATAAGAACAGACTGACAATATTTTTAAAATTATTAAACTATATAAGCAGTCAACAAACGTCAAGTAAATCATAGTACTGTATGTCGACATCTGTCAAATAAATCATAGAATCGTACGTAACTTTGGTGACTGTAGCCAGAGTTGGAAAATCGCTAAAATTTAAAATCATAAAAAGAAATAAGCTGGTTTAAAAAAATTTTTAGAAGGTTTAATAGCAACCCCTGGCAAATTGTCAGGCGACCTCGGGTGGGGTCTAATGGCAACCCACAAGTTGAGAACTGCTGGTCTAAATAAAATTTTTAGAAAATGAGGTATTAAAAAATCAAGGCGGTTAAAACCCGAACTCCATATAACTGGAAAAAATCAAAAAAATCTATTAGAAATATTATTTACTATTAAAATTACCTAAAAACTCATACGCAGCTACTAAATTTCACTTAAAAAAACAAACAAAAAAGTTTAATTGTAAGTTTAATTGTAATATAAAGTTTTATTACAAATAAATCTATCGCCGTTATCAGTAAATGGAAATTTTACTTTTCTATCTACTATTTAGTTACAATTTTTTTAAACTGATACAAATAATGAACAATATTCATTACATTGGCTAATGCAATTAAAAATTTGTTGAATAAACTTTTATCTTTTTCATAGCAATGAAACAATAGGAACCTATTTAAAAAAAGTTAAACCAAAATGCGATGATGATAATAATGATGGTGATGGTTATGGTGGTGATGGTGATGGTGGTGGTGGTGATGGTGGTGGTGGTGGTGGTGGTAGTGGTAGTGGTGGTGGTGGTGGTGGTGGTGGTGGTGGTGGTGGTGGTGGTAGTGGTAATGATATGATAGACAATAAAAACAAATTATAGTTAAAACATTTTTTTTAAACTTGGTTTTTTCTTCTTCTTTTGCTATAAAGATATTACTAACTATTAAATTCCTAATCTTTTGTGCCCCTATCTTACTGGGACCAAAATAAGCTTTACAATCAAAGTCGTCTATCCTCCAACAACTCTACTGTTTCTGTTTCTATGTTTCTACCATGTTTCTGTTCCCAACCAAACCAGCTAACTGTTACTTCTTATTTGACACTACTATTCAACATATACGCATCCACTTATTTAAAGATCAAAATCCGCATCCGCCTATAGAAAGATAAAAATGTTTTAAATAAAACACTGATTACTGTATAAATAATTTATCTTTGTGCCATGCATATTTAATGTACTTTTTCCAAAACTTTATTTAATGTATGAAAAAAATAAAAACATTAACTTTTGAACAAAATAGTAACTAAAGTAACAATCAATAAAAGAACAATAAAAACAAATAAAAGAACATAGCTAAACAATAACTATTAATTATAACTAAGAAAGTTTTTAAAGTTAATATTTTTAATTATTCCCTTATACATAACTATATCCTATATAACTGTAAAGCTTCAGTTCTCGTCTGTTTAGTTTGAAGCGTTATGTTTTGCTAATTAGACACACTTAATTGTTTCTTATTATTATTTTTACAGATATTAATCTAAATATAAATAAAACAATCTATAAACAATTCATTACCGTCACAATCGCTTCAGTCATTTTTGTGGGTTTTTAAGTTTGGAATTGAAATAACTTAGACATTCGTCTATATTATGCTAAAAACAACTAAATCGTGAACCAATTAGAATAAAGTTTTGAAATAATTTTTAATTACGCCAAAAAATTGCAGGCGACAGTTTTTTTAGTTCTTTCAAAACTTGAATGGACTTCAATCTAGTAATTGAGATCAAATCCCAAATTTATGACACGTTTGGAATACGATCGTGACAAAATTGGAGTTTAAATTTATTCTATTAAAATTTTTAAATTTCTTGAAGTTAGCTCTAAAACACTGGGCTTTAATTTTAAAGTTGCTTTGAAACTTTGTTATAAGATCATAAAGATTAACTGATATAGATTTATCAACTCGTTTCTTTTTTTTTTTTGTTAACATTTTTTATATTAAAATTATTTGACAAATTTTAAAACGAAGTGCGATATAAATAGCATGATAACAAAAAGCCATTTTGGAAAACTTTTATTAGAGCAGCCACATTTTTAAGCAAACAAGATAAATAAAATAAAAAAGAAGTTTACGCAACGAATTTACCTGTTTAATTTTGTTTTTATTAAAAAAACATACAAGAGTTGTTTTCAAAAAACTATCTGAATAAAAATGGTTGCAGAGACGGGCGTTCACAAAACAACTTTCATACAAAAGAGAACAACACGTTTTCTAAATAAAAAGCTTTCTTTGGGTCTTGTTTTAAACCATTGCAAATTGAAAATCTTTTATCTTAAAGATCGATAGAGTGAACAATATGAACTTGAGTCAAAAAAGTTAAAATTAAGTTTAACCTTTGAAAAAACATTTTCTATTGTTATTAAGTAGCGCATTATATCTTTTTATACATTTTTAATCAGCTCTACAGTTTTAAAAAGGCCCACTTTTTTAAACAACTGTGTCGCTGTTTTTTCTTTCTTCAATCTTTATCTAATTTATTTATTTAAGCTTTTTTAGCTTTTCAAAAAGTTCATATGTATCAGCTGTCATTTAAGCAAACTGCGCATGTCAAATAAAAAATCCACGAGGTTCTGGGGAAAAGACCTAACAAATCTATCAAAAAGTATTAATGGAAAGAGTAATGACAGGTAGTGGAAAAACGCAAAATATAACGTCATTATTGTTTTAATTATTTCCATTTGCATTTCAGCTACAAAAGAAGGTGTTTTTAACAAAAGCCTTGTGACATAAAGTATTTAATCACCCATTAATGTGCGGTGTCATTATAATTCAAGGTATCTACGTTTGCAAATCAAATGAATATGAGGAATTTGTTTATGGTTATATGTTGCTTTTTTCTAAATAATTTTTTTTTGATAAATGCTGACGAATCTACAGCTAGTTTTACTGGCAATGACTACATTAGGTACGAAATAACAAATAAACAAGAAACCCGTAAAGATAAAGTTACTATGCGTTTCAAAACAACAGAAGCCTTTGGTGTGTTGATATATAGCTGTGGAATACAAGGAGATTTTCTCCTTTTAGAGCTACAAAGGGGCAAACTTGTGTAAGTGTTTCTCAATCAAGAAATTCCTTGCAGATTTTTTCGTTTTTTTGTTTTTTTTGTGTGTTTTTTTTTTGTTGTTGTTTTTATTATTTTATTTTATATAAATATATAATAATAGTAATAATAAATATAAAAGTAATGGTTGTATGTATTTTGGGTTGTACATGATTGAAATATGGAGGGTCTGATTTGCTTTTTTAGAAATTAGCTAAATAGCATAACCCTGGATGGTCTGTTTTTCAACTTAGAAATAAAATTAAAACTGGCTTAAGAAAACCTAATGCCGTTTAAACAAGTCGAATTACTTTTACATTCTGCTTATAACTTTTTTAATTCAATGAATCATTTTTCGAGATTTTATTTTCAAAATCATTTTCAGAAATAAATCTACTTAAGTTTTAATAGTTATTTTTATTAAATAATTTTTTAAAAGGTATGTAGAAGTAAGAAAAAGCAGCAGTATCATTTTGAATCCTGCATGTTATAAAAAAATGAAAAAACCTGGCCATCAATAAATTTGAAAACATAATATTTGCATGTGAACATATGCAGATTTAAAAACAAAAAACGCGTCTTTATTAAAGAAAATTTCAGAATCAATTTTCCTAATGAAAATTTCTTTAGGGATATTTATACATTTAAAGATTCAAAAACAAATAACCGAGATTATAATTGTTTCAGACAAAAAAAACATGTCAAAATTAAGTAAAAAAAAATTATGCGATTTAAACTATGAACTATGTTCTTTATCAGATAAAACGAAATGATACATAAATTATACAAAAAATTTATTCATAAAACGCAAACAAGAAAATAACATTATTTTGAAGCTTTATATTTTTATTAATAATATTATATAGATATTTTTGTTAATAATATTATATAGATATTTGGGAATAGATTGGTCGAGTATATTTATCCTAGTTACATTCTTTAAGGAGATTTAATTAAATTAACAAAACCATTTAAAAATTTTTGAACACACTAGTTTTTCTTTTGAATTTTTTTTTTAACTTTACTGGAAACTTTTTTTTTTAGTTATACTGGAAACTTTGGTTCAACCCTTGAAGAATACGGCGCTCATAAAATAATTCATGAAAAACAATATAATGATAATAGTTGGCATGATGTTGTTATTTTGAGAGAAAATGGCACCCACGTTTATTTTACGGTAGATGATAAAACAAAATCGTACATTTCGCATTTAGACTTTGAACAGCTAAATCTCGATTATCTTTACGTGGGAGGTCTGGGCTTAGCTCAAAAAGATGAAACAACATGTTTGAATATCAAAGAAAAAACTAATTTCATTGGTTGTATGTCAAAAGTTAGATTTAACAGCATAGATTTATTGTATGGTGCAATTGAGAAGTTCACGCACTTTAAAACATTTGGCCATCTATCTTTTACATGTCCTGATAGCAAACTGAATATATTTGGGTTTAGTTCTGTGAATTCACAAATGACTTTACGAAGAAATATACTAAATGTTAACGATTTGAATTTTGCTTTAGAGTTACGAACATTTGAACCAAACGGACAAATAGCAACACATCTATGCACAAATGGTGCAATTGAGATAATACTTGTGAACGGAAAACTTAATTTGATTGTTTCTTTCATAGGCTTGTCTGCTCACAATGCCGTTACTATAAAATCAGAGATAAAAGTTGACGACGGTAACTGGCACGTTATTCGAATTTCGGTACAACGAAATGAAGACATAGTCAAACTGCAAGTAGATCATGTCTCAGAAATTCATCAGTTTAAAAGCTACTTTCGATTAGGAAGCACTGATGGCATAGGGAACTTTATGGGAGAAATAACTATTGGAGGCAGTACACCCGAACTTCCTTGTTTACTTGCGTGCTACAGAACAATTGAAGTTGATAATGAGCCAGTTTTATTTGATTCGAGTAAAATAATAAAAAAGCGTGAAGTTGGTAAAAACTGCAACATTAGTGATTTATGTTTTCCTAATCCTTGCCTTCATAAAGGAGTATGCTTTCAATCATTGCAGACATATACTTGCAATTGCACTAATCCTGATTATTCAGGAACAAATTGTGAAACGTGCGTTTACAAAAGAACATGTCATGAATTAATGGATAGTGGATTTACTGAAAGCAAAAATTATAAGCTATGTTCTAATAATGAGCAAGTTTATCAAGCTTATTGTGATATGAGTTCAGGAGAAACAATTATTGGCCATAATATTAAAAACGACACGCGTGTTGATGAAGGAGAAAAGGTGGAAGGAACGCAATCCTTTTATATACATCCTGTTAAATATTCTGTAGACGTACTTTCAATAATCAACTTAATGGAATTGAGCTCTTTGTGCAAGCAGTATATTAGATTTGATTGCTTCCAATCAAAGTTATTGGATGGAGTTGGAAGAAAGAGATACGATGACTACAAAGGAGCAAGATGGTTATCTAGAGATAGCGAGCGGCAACATTTCTGGGGGAACTCAAATCCTGATAGACGAACGTGTAGCTGTGGAATGGATAAATCTTGTGCAAAAGGAGACGATGGTACATTTTATTATTTCTATTCTATTTTTCTTTTTATTTATTGAGTTTTCTACATGATTTTAAAAGGAAAATTCTATAATTAGAGGTACAATTAACCAAAATTAAAAAACAAAGTATTTAATATTTTCAATATTAAATACTTTTATAGGTAAACCTTACGACTGTAATTGTGATGCTGGCGATGCAAAATGGCGTTTTGACGATGGTTATTTAACGCAAAAATCACTCTTGCCAGTCACCGAAGTTCAATTTAGCATTGGAAAATCAATGAATATAAAATCTTACTTTACTGTTGGGGAGTTAAAATGTTCAGGTACAAAAGTGAAGCCTTCCGATATTCCAGTCACAACAATGACTACAACAGTTAAATTTGAAAAACCAAAAATTATTAACAACTCGATGTTTTCAATTCGGAAATTTGATAACGTGACTATACTTACTTTGCCTGCTTCATCTTCTTCAGTTAGAGATAGTATTGACACATTGTTTTCAAAGCCATGGCTCATAACCATTGTGTGTATTGGAGTTTTGCTGTGTTTGTTATTAGTCGTCTTAGTGTTTATTTTGTTTCGTCAAAATCTTGGAAGTTTGCTGATTAAGTGTGTGTATGGAAAACACGTTAACAAACCAAAAATTGAAATTGAGGATTATAACAGATACTCTACGGTAACTGAGAATCAATCTGATTGGGATATTCACCATTTATCGACTACTTTTCCCACAAGTACACCAGCCCCATCATACGGTCCAACTGATGATGAAGAAAGCACAGTTGATATTCGTTGTCGAACAGTAGACGATTTAAGAGTTAAACGCAGTTTAAAAAAGTTAACTAACTGGGGAAGTCGTACAGCTTCTGCTCCAACAGTCATGGGATCAGTTAACAGTCTACAATATAAAAATGATAACGTGCAAGCTCCAACACACAATGAAGTTATTTCTAAACCAAATTGCAAAAATATTTTTGGCTCCTCTGACACAGCATTTAGTACAACTGCAACTGATGGTGAAGCGGAATCCATAATTGATAGCAGTGCATCTGAATATAGTCAAAAGTCAAGCTCCAACTCAGTTAAAAGTTCATTAAAAGAATCGGAGCACGAATCTCCTCTTGGAAACAAAAAGTTAACTGACGTGAACATATTAAACAAAAATGAAAACAATGAAAAACTTCAAAAGAGTAACGATAAATTTTACTGTATTCCAGCTCCAATGCCAACGATGTATAGTGAACCTATGAAAAATCTTATTCCAATAACGCCACTTCCTCTTAACGGATATCGTAATCTTAAAACAGTTAGATGTGGACTTCCGTATGAATTTGGTGGTCACCTGGCAATAATAAATAATAATTCTAACAGATGCCAACTTAAGAACGCATCTTTAACAAGAATAATTCCAGTGAGACGTGTTTCCGTAGCGTCAGAAAATTATAAACCATACCCACATCCAACAATTCAAGAGAGATGCGAGGAAACCACTGACAGTGAGCATGACACGCTGCACTATTTCTATGACAATCTTTGTAATTCAGATGGATTTTATGACAACAACGATGGAGACCAAGGTTTTTCGCCTTCCTCGGAAACTAGACCTTTATTTGATGAAATAAATTCAAGGGACGAACAAGAAAGAGAAGCCGATGAACAGATCAAGTTACTAAAACGGAAAGTAATCGAAAAAGCGACTTCTTTTGACGAAGGGTACTAGACAATGTAATAGGAAATAAATAAAAACGAAAAAATTTAAATAACTTTTATGAACAAATTAAGTTCCTTAAACTAAATTAAACGAAAAAGTGACTTAGTTTTGAAAAAACTTGGGAACCATAGTTACATAGCAAGCTGAAAGATAATATAAAATCTTAAGAATTTAAGTTGAAAGTAATTGACAATTTAACTAAAAGTATTTCGAAAAAAAAAATTTAGAATCGAGTACTGGAAATGAATAAAAAATAAGTGAAAATAATTGAGGAAGCTCCATAAAATCTTAAAGTCATATAAAAATTAGAGCAAAAAAGTTCACAGAAAGTTTACGTTTTATAGCTTTATATAGAATATGCATAGGTAGAACGTATCTAGCCAGAAAACGTTTTTTGACAAGAATGCTTATTAAGCAATATTAGTCAGAGTTTTATTTTAAACAAAACAAGTAAAATATTTTAAGTTTAAAATATATTTTTTTAAAACATTTATTTTAGATTGAAAATCTTGTATTTTTATACTACTCTGTTTTTAGTGACGCAAAAAAAATCTGTTTATGTTGTTTTTTAATTTGAAAAAATGTGAATTTTTAAAAAAAAAAAAAAATTTTTTTTTTTATGTTTTAATATAACATAAGAATTTTACAACTTTGTATTTCATAAAAAAAAGTTAGTAAAACAGATAGGAGCTCAAAGAAGATGAAGATGACAATACGTCATCGCAATCTTTTCATAGAGCCCTTTTAACAAAATTTCAATAAAGTATCAACTATTATTAATAATATTAATAATAGTATTAATCTATAAAATACAAGTTAACAAGTTAAACAAAAAAAAGTTTCTAATGGCGTCTTCAAAATACGTCACAGGTTTAAACTTCTTTCATTTTCTTTGCGCTTAATCACTTACGTCAAAATTTTTTGACTTTTTATCTTATATTATATCACACTACCTTCAACATTAACTCAAAGATTAAGGTGTTCTAATTATTTGTTTTTAACACCCTTAAAGTTCACTTTTTCGAAAAAACTTAGTATGAAGTAGTAATATATTGTTATAAATTAAAAGTTTATAAATAAAAAATTAATGCGGTAGTGGTGTAGTGGTAAGAGCGCTCGCTTTGTAAGCGAGCGGTTCTGAGTTCGACTCCCACCACGTCCCTGGAAGTACCGCGCTCAACTTAATTTCTCCGCGCAGCGGTCTGGCTTGTCACGGTTCGTGTTTCGGAGTTAAAGAGTTGAGAGAGGGTTGTACCACAATTTACAAAAAAAAAAAAAAAAAAAAATGAGTAGCCTCCTCGACTGTAGTGGCCCCCTCGGGCCTTGGGTAGGTGAATAAATTTAAAAAAAAAAATAATAAAAAAAATAATTTTTTTTTGAAAACTTCTCCTTATTTGAATTTTCATTTTCAAAAATAATAAAAAAAGTACAATAACAAAATCTTTTTCGGAAATGCAAATAAAAGAGTATTTTCGCAGAAGATGCGGTAGTAAATACACTGTTACGGAAAAGGTGTCTGTGTTTAAAAAAAAAGGTGCTAGCGTATAAAGTCTTGGGGAGGTGAATTACCAATATATATATATATATATATATATATATATATATATATATATATATATATATATATATATATATATATATATATATATATATATATATATATATATATATATATATTTGATATATATTATATACCATATACTGCAATATTTTCCAAACTTATAGTTAGCAGTACTACAATGTTTATGTAGGAGTGGAAAAGTAAAATTGTTTTATTTATAAATACAATTCTTCTTCAATAAGTTGTAAGGTGAAACCTGTTGCATTTGAGATTCAGCTCTTGAATATATATTGAAGAGCATTTGTAACAAAAATTTGATCTTCGCCCAGACAATTTTTTTTACTTAATTTTTGGTTATATTTTACTTTGATGTAGTTTTTATACTTTTGCTTTTATATATAAGAGCAAAAGAATAAAAACTACATCAAGATAAAATAAAACGAAAAAAAAGAAAAAAAAATTTCTAGTATTATAGCTATAATAATAATTAGTAATTTAAAATAAAACTTGAAATGTAATTTTTATTTGAGCTCCAAAAAATTGTACATCTTATTTGAAAAATTTTCATGTAAATTGATGAAAAACTGCATTTGTTTTTAAAAGTTACGTTCTAAATGTATTTTAGATGTCTTTTAAACGTTTTCTAAACATTCATCCGTAAAGAACGTTTAAAACACGTTAAAAAAACGTTTAAAACACATTTAGAACGTAACTTTTAAAAGCAAATGCCCGTAGGGAAATATCAAAATTTGAGCGAACAACGCAGTTTTTCATCAATTTACATGAAAATTTTTCAAATAAGATGTACAATTTTTCGGAGCTCAAGTAACAGCATTCTTTTTTTTTATACAGAGTGTTCAAAATACCACGTAAATAATAGTACTCCCTCTTTTTCAAAATGCTGTTCCGATTTTACTTTTTTTTTTTGTTCCAAAATACTATTCCGATTTGATTTTGTTACTAATTTTAATGAGATAAAAATCAAATATTTTAAATAAAAGTTTTTTTTTTAATTAAAAAATTATTTGAAAACTTGTATTATGGGCCGCGGTGACGAGGGGGCCATGTCCCCCCTTCTCAGACTTTTTTTTTAATGTCCTTTTTTTTTCTTTTTTTAGCTAAGTAGGTTTTAGTAGGGGAAGTGGGGGCATAGCCTCATATAGAATCACAACCATTTTTTTTAAATTTTCCTTTAAATAATATTATCTTATATGGCAAAAAAACATACCACCCGTTGGTAAAACAGTTCCTTCATTTTGCTTGTGTCAAAAAGAGTGCCTGATGCGTTTCTGAGAAGTTGTGCCTAATAATTACTTTTTTTTAATAAAAATATTATATTTACATCTTATATTATATATTATATTTTTTAAGGCCTTTCTTTTGAGAATTAAGTAATATTTGATTTTAGTGTTAAAGATATGTGTTATCAGCATTATTTCGTCAAGTGAAAACCATTTTTGATATCAACATAACCTAATAAGCAAGCTATAAAACTGTATTCTTTCTAAAAACTCTCTTCTGGGGTAGAACCGCATAGACGCACAGGAGGCACAACAGCAATCTTTTAATATTTATCAAAGTTAGGTAATTACGAATAACAATATATACAATCTTCACACTTGAGGGCTTTCATGTAAAAACTTAAATAGAAGTTATTTTTGTTTTGAGATGTTGGAAATTAGATTTCGTATTTTTTTATTTAACTTTTATAAATGAGTTTTTTATTAAAATATAAAACTTAGAGTATATATCGATATCTTGTTATATATACTTATATCTGATGAATATTATATTATTATTATATATTGTAGGTATATAATTGTGGGTTTATTAATTAAAAAAAAAATGGATCATTTTTTTATTATATTTATAATTTTTTATTTTTTATTTTATTTTATAATATGTATTTACTGTTCTAATCAGTGAAGGACGCAAAGAAGGTAAGGATGATTTAATATCACAACCTTTTCATAAAGCCCCTATAGTCACTCATTACAAAAACTTTAAATTTTAAAAATGAAACAAAAATTCAATCAAAACAAAGCTCATATTTTTTATTGTAACAAATTAAAAAACAAAAAATATTAAAAACAAGAAAAATAAGAAGAAGAAGAAGAAAAAACAAATTCTGTAAACTTTAAAATGTAAGTCAGGAATTAAAAAGATGCATTTTAGTTTCCCGTTTAAACGATGAAACGCTTTTTACTAATAAGTAAATTTTTTAATTACAAACCGTGGCCCATCAATATGGAATCATTTCCAAAATAAAAATATTAAAGATCTAAAATTTTTAGGTCTTTAATATTTTTATTTTGGAAATGATTCCATATTGATGGGTCACGGTTTGTAATTAAAAAATTTGATGTGATTTAATTTTCATTAAGTGATAGTTGTACCTGGTACTTGAACGCAAATTATATTTTTCAGAAAATGATCTCAAGAAAATATCTGAAAAAGCGAAGAAAATATCTGAAACACTTAATAGGAGATTGTTCTTATACTTATACATAAAAATTAATATCTGTAATGTGTTAAGCTTCTCAATTCTAGAACCATCATGCTTTTCATCACCGGGGCTTTACTAACCTTTACATCACCGGGTTTACTAACCTGTTTAAATAGTTTATTACTTTGCATGCATGGTTTTGCAGGCTTTGCAATTTTAACAATTTTGTTTTATGGATGCTGGCCCATACAATATTTGCGTACAAAAGTTGACTATCTACAAGACTAAAGTAAAGCGTATTTCACAATTTACTATCGAGAAAAGGTCTCAACTTATACAAAACACCTATTACAGTGGGCATTTTTGTTTCAAGAATACCAATATGGTTTCTCCATGACAAATTTTCATTAAAAAGCACTCCCAAATATTTTGTACATTTTTCACGTTTGATTTCATTTTTATTAATAAGCAGTTTAGGAAGCTTTAAAGGGAGATTAATTGATTTTTTTTTTTTTTTATGAGAAAGGGTAAAACTAGTTTTTTGACAATTAGGGATAATTTATTTGCTATGAACCAGAGGCTGAATTTTTCAAGTTCAATATTCATAGTTTCAAACAAAGTCTATGCATCAGGGTGATTAAAAAATAAATTTGTATCGTCAGCATACATATTTGTAGATATTTTTTGGGATACTTTATGCATATCGTTAATGTAAATAAGGAACAATAATGGAACCCTGAGGAACTCCACATGTAATATCGAGGGCTCCTGACTTTTCTAGTAATACAAATTGCTTTCTGTTAGACAAATAGCTTTAAATCCACTTAAATGTTGAGCCTATTATACCGTAATGTTTTAGCTTGGAAACTAAAATACTGTGATCAACCGTATCAAATGCCTTGGAAAGATCAACAAACACTCCTAATACCATCTCATCACTATCAAACAACTTAAACATTTTGTCAGTAAGTTAAGTAATAGCATGCTCAGTAGAACACTTACTTTGAAATCCAAACTGATTTTTGTATAATAAATTGTTTAATGTAAAGCA